CGCACCCACCCACACACACACAGACACACACACGCACACACACACACACACACACACACACACACACACACACACACACACACACACACACACACACACACACACACTCACACACGCGCACACACACACACACACACACACAAATTCTAAAGCCTTCTTTAAGACTAAAAACAAGTAATGGCACCGTTTGAAAAATCTTTTACCATTTCTGTCTATACACAGGCATCTTTAAAAGTTTATTCCCCAGGATATTTCAGGTTTTAAACTTTCTTTTTAAGTGATCGAGCCAATAACCGAGGTGAGAATGATATTATTGGAAGTGAACGGCACTCGGTGACACATTCATACGATGCTGTGACTCCAGGGATGCGCCTGCATCACGCTCACCTCTGTTGCTATGGCGACACGTGTTTTGGGATTGGGGTCGAGGACGGGGTAAGCGCTCGTAACAATTAATCACAAATACAGACCCGCTGCCTTTCCCAGCTCCAGCATCGGCGGGTCAAGCAGCTGAGATTAGATTATTACAGCCTATTGAAAATAACAACAGCGCCTTTATTGTTTCATTATCTCCACATGAGTCCTAAAGCAAACCAATCACTAAAATCATCTATGACTGTGAAAGTTATATTATATGTGGTAATTGAAAATATCACAATTTAATGATTTTTTAAAACAGCTAATAATGTCGTAGTGCCTACTTTTAGATAGCATAGTGAATTAAATAAATTCTCTTTTTTGCATTTAGTAATTTCTAATAAATTTCACAAATAATTACAAAAAAACAGCAAGAAACAAACTGAATTAAAAGTGAAATTTAGAAATAGAAAGACTGAAATAGTAATTTACATTATAATATATTAAATAACAAATAAAATAATAATTACAGGTTTTTAAATCTTTTTTTTATTTTAGGGTCTCATCTAGAGTACATTCACACAATAAACAATCTGATGTTAGATTTTCGCTCAGAAATCACTAGTAAATTTCACAAATTTTTCACAAATCAAATTAATTAACCAATTTATCAAACTAATTTTTACATTTTTTATTTATTTATTTTATTTATTTATTTATTTACAGTGTAATGATGTGGTAATATTCATTTTTAGATAATATAGTGAATTAAGTAAACATAATATTATTAAATTAAAATGATTTCTCTTTTTGTTTTTAAATAAATTCTCTTTTGTTTTTACGGTCTAATGCACAGTAAATTTAGACAGTTTTTGTTTTTGTAGGATTTACTGTAGGATGTAAACCATTTTCACACATAATAATTTCTCTTTTTGTTTTAAAATACTTTCTTTTTTATTTTAGTCTCATTCAGAGTAAATTCAGAAATTTAAAACGGAGATTTTTAACTCAAACCGTTGAAGTCTGTCAGTCTTATAATGCAAGTGGATGGGAATCACGGCTTTGAGAGTCAAAAAAACATACACAGACAAAACCAAATTAAACCCTGCGGCTCGTGACGATACATTGATGTGTAAAGACACGAAACGATCAGTCTGTGCAAGAAACTGAACAGTATTTATATAATTTTTTACCTCCGCAATGTCTGAACTGTCCTGAGCGTGTTCTTGTGACGCGTCTTCTTCTTCTTGCTTTACGGCGGATCGCAGACTTATAAGTGCATTACCGCCACCTATCTCTCAAATGGACCATTGACACTCTATCTACAATCTCAATTAGGAGTGTCAATGGTCCATTTGAGAGATAGGTGGCGGTATAAATACTGTTCAGTTTCTTGCACAGACCGATCGTTTCGTGTCTTAAGACCTCAGTGTATCGTCACGAGCCGCAGGGTTTAATTTGGTTTTGTTTGTGTATGTTTTATTTTACTCTCAAAGCCGTGATTCCCATCCACTTACATTATATGACTGACAGACTGCAACGGTTTGAGTTCAAAATCTCCGTTTGTGTTCTACTAAGAAACAATGTCACCTACATCTCGGATGCCCTGCGGGTAAGCAGATAAACATCACATTTTCATTTTTGGGTGAACTATCCCTTTAATTAAAGATGAAATTTTGAAGTATAAAGACTGAAATAGTATTTTATTATAAACCATACTCTTAATAATCTTGGTTTTGTTTACAACATTGAAAAAATATACATTATTTTAAAGTGTAATAATGTTTATTTTTTTAGATAAAATAGTGAATTAATTTGTTTTTAAATAATGTTTCTTATTGTGTTTAGGGTCTCGCATGTAGGATTTGCACAGTTTTCACTCATAGCCTGTTAGTGAATTCCCTTTTTGTTTTTGGGCTCTAATTGCACATGGAGCATTCAAAGGAGTCCCTGATTTGACGAAATCCACAGAATGATAACTTACGCCATAACAATCACGCTGAAGTCCAGCCAGTTCCAGGGGTCCCTCAGGAAGGTGAAGGGGCCGATGCAGAAGCCCCGCGCCAGGATCTTTATCAACGACTCAAACGTGTAAATGCCAGTGAACGTGTACCTGAGCGGAAGAGAAAACGGAGGGATGGACAGAGATTCAGACCGCGGAAAACCCCACGGGGGACATACAGAGATCATGAACGGAGACGGGACACAAACATGGAGTTGAGAGGAAATGTGAAGCACATTCACAGTCCAGCAGCCCCTGTGACATGAATGACAGCGAGTCGCTCCTTGATGAACTGCTGAATGGACATTAAATCCAGCGGAGCGAGAGACCCTCCAGCGGAGCGGATGGAGACCGGCTGAGAGATGCAGCATTCTGGAGTGTTTCTCTTTTCATCTTTCTCTTCCTAGTTGAACTCAGCTCAGATCTCGTTCTGGTTTGTATCGTACCTCTCATCACATCTGAGTCTCGTGCAATCAATGTGCATTTCTAAATGTGCCTTTTTTTAAATGGCATCGCTTTCATTTTCACAAACAGGCCCACACGGAATCCACACGGAATCTACGGAATTCTACAGATTTGCATGGAATCATGTCTTCAGCAACCAGTAAAAGTGCAGCATTCTCACTTTAAGTTCAATGCATAAATCCCAGAATTCCAGAGCAGGATCAGTGCAGAAGATGCAGAAATAGTCTGTAGATTCCCATCTGGGCCCGTTCATGAGATGGAAAATATACATACAGTGGCCCTAAAATGTATTTGCACACTTTTTACCCACACTTAAAAATATATGAATGTCATTGCATTAAATAGGAAAATATCAAAACAAGTGATATTTAAATAGCTTTTACATTCACACACACACACACACACACACACACACACACACACATATATATATAGTCATTTTATCATTTATGTGTGTGTGTGTGTTGTTATTGTTAACTAAAACTATTAAAAATATTTTTTGTTTTAATTGCAATTAACTGAAATTACTTTTACTGAAATAAAAGATAAAATAATATATACAATTATTTAAATAAATTAGGATTAAATTAATAATTTTATATAATAATTTAATTATTTATTATATTGTGTAATTATAAATTAAGTTATTAATTTATAAATAATAATGATGAAATTATTTGTAATTAATTGAAATGATTTATTTAAAAAATTTATATATATATATATATATGATTTAAACTACTAAAAGCTAATAAAACTATTTTCATTAATTGAAATTGACTAACTAGATTAAATAAAATAAAATAATATATTTATATACAATTATTTTAAGATTAAATAGTTAGTTTATAATTTATATTTAAATTAAAATGTGTAATTATTTATAATTAAATGAAATTATTTCGAAATATTTGAATGAATGTATGAATGAATAGATTCAAAACTTAAACTTACTAAACTAAAACTGATTTAAAATGAAATTACAGTGAAAAAGAGACTTGAAAAATGAATAGAACTTACAAAAGCACATAACAAAATTACTAAAATTTTAACTAAAATTAAAATGAAAACTAAAAATAAAAGCTAATTCAAAATATGAATAAATACTATACTAATATATAAATAATGCTAATGTAATACTTATATATAGCAAAGACATTCACAAATTTGTAAGTGTGACTAAAGTGTGTTGAAATACTCTCTGGGGTCGTTGTGTGTGTTGTAACGCTATAGATTTGTTGTCTATATCTCAGGGTTTGCCTTCATAAGTGCTGAGAGGTACGACTTCTCGCTCGTTTCAGAAACATGTGTTGTCATTGCATGCTACGTGCTACAACACCTCCTGAGATGAAGATATCAGACGCTGGTTTCACGGTGCAGAACGTCCAGAGGCCGGCGCAGGTCTGCGTGCTTCTCTACGAGCGCACACTGCGTGCTTCTCGTCTCCTACAGTCACTTACACTGTAGGTCACATTCATCTCAATACGGCAAACTGTGTGAGCTGCGTGGGAAAACATGGGATAAATCCGCTCTATCCGGTGGGATGTACGTACGCATGGGCTGACTTCTGCTGGCGTGCTGCGGCCCTTACTGAAGCTGGAGATGAAGGACAGACAAACCCAGAGACAGACAAGCAGATCAACTGACAGACGACCAGACGATGAGTAAACCGAGAGCTGCACATGAGCGCGGCAAACACACACGCAGAGAGACACAGAGATACATGAGCTGAAGAAGAGCACAGAGACAGAGACAGACTTAATACAGGCAATCCATCAAACCAGATAGATAGATAGATAGATAGATAGATAGATAGATAGATAGATAGATAGATAGATAGATAGATAGATAGATAGATAGATAGACAGGCGGATAGATAGATGGATGGATGGATGGATGGATGGATGGATGGATGATGGATGATGGATGGATAGATAGATAGATAGATAGATAGATAGAATGGATGGATGAATGGGGGATGGATGGATAGATAGGTGATGGATGGATAATAGAGAGATGAAGATGTGGATGATGAGGGATGGATGATGGATGGATGGATGATGGATGATGGATGATGGATGATGGATGATGGATGGATAGATAGATAGATAGACAGGCGGATAGATAGATGGATGGATGATGGATGGATGGATGATGGATGGATGATGGATGATGAATGGATGGATGGATGGATGGATGGATGGATGATGGATGATGGATGGTGGGTGGATGGGTGGAT